CTTGAGGGTATTATCAGCACAGTCAGCCTTGGTTTACAAATAACCAATTGTTAATCATAAGCCCGGCTTTGCTGATGAGACCAATAAAGTTGAAACCAGCCCAGCGTTTGGCTTGTTTAAACAAATGCTACTGGATAATAAATGTTGCCCTGGAGAGAGATGAACAGAGTTTAATTGATTTCATTACCCATGATCCTCCACTATAGCACCGATTCAATTCTTAAAATACATTTGGTAAAAATCCAGCGTAATGTTTTCAGACGCGTGTGTATTTAGCGTGACGAGCACATACATGCCAAATAACTGGTTTACACTCCACTGAGTGCGACACAATGCTACTCTTCTGTTTACATCCTTGAGCGTAGTGGAAATTCCACATTCCTATGGAGGGGGTGGGGGATTCTTAGCAGTTAGCGCGCTGCGCTATGAACCCGGCAACCCAAATTAGATTGCCGCTCATGGCCAACACCAGTGATTATTATTTGAATCGGTCCTGGGCCTCCCCTAGGTCGACTCAGCCTCAAATTAGTACCTGGTGCGGTGTGAAAACATTGCCACTGGGCAGACAAAGGCGGCCAGGCGTGGTGCTGGCCACCCACCCCCTCCTGTGATTCACCGGCCTTTATAGGTGCTCGCTAACAGCACTTGCCCCAACAGTCTACATAGAACAACCAATTATTAACTTCCCCAAAAATCAGTACTCATTTTATTTTCCCAGAAAGGGCTAATTCGACCTCTCAACCTTCCCATTGCGAGCCAGGAACTCTACCAGCAGGTCACTTAGTAGAGATAGAACTCCTGTTATCCTTGAACAAAATTCCTCCTAACTCCTATTATCTGTGGTACCTGTAAGGTACATGAACACTCCCTTTGTACATACCCCAAAGCTTATATTATCCGCCATTATCTGCGAATTTTTTTTCCCGCGGATAAATGAGGTCGCGCATATCCTATCGATAATAGGTTCCGCGATATTCATCCCCCACATCACTGCAGACAAGGGAGTTTGTATTATTATAAATTATATTTGTGCAACGATGTACTATGTCTCGTGTGTGTTATATCTTTCTGGATGAGCTCAAACTTGTCCCAAAATAAATTTTCAATACTTCTTCCATAACAAAGTAAGGGTGCTTTTATTAGTGTATTACACAAAGGAAATCCGCTTAATTCTCACGTCAATAATGCTGTGCCAGTTTTGATCTCTCCCACTTCCTGTAATGGCAGTCTTCGAAGCCATCCCCATTAATTGCACAAAACCAGTATCAAATTTCTATATTTTTCCCCCCATCGCATATTATGAAGACAGCAAAGAATTCTTACTTCTTTACCATGAGCCATGATCTATCCAGCACTGGATGAAGGCCTCCCAAAACCATCGCCATCTCACAAGGCTGTGCGTAATAGATCATTTAAGTTGTATCCTATGGAGCCTATTTCATTGCTCCAATATGCACTTGGGTTTGTTCCCGATGGCTACAACTTCTACATTATGTCTCGACCAATACGTCCTGCCAAAGTCCACTTATCTGACATACATGTTATTTAAAAAAATTAAATATCATGTGAGAGAACCTAAAAATGTTAAAACACAGTGGTGACTCATGCAGTCATGGTAGCGATGCCTTCATACAACAGTAGATTGACCATGGCTGATGATGATGATGATGAATGGCTGAAGTGTGTGCCATTAAAATAATTTAACAATATTTCATACAATATTATAGTTTTTTACGTATTCTAAAAGTCTTTACACTTTAAGATTCATCTCATTCATTCCTATGGTTGGAATGCTAATTGGAATGAAAGGAAATGTAAACCCTTGTGATGTCTGCTGTAAATCTTGTGCCACTGGTATCAATATTCTAAATTCCACAAATTAATCATTTAACTACAATTATGATAATTACTTACGACACTTTGTCAAGCCACTGCTGGATGAAAGCCTCCCAATGCTATGTTAGTCACGGATTTCGTTTGAGCATACTTCACCATCCTGGGTACTTGGTGAAGCAGCAGGGTCCCCAAGGCTGGTTACGATATCACTTGCCACTCATCTACGGCCATGACTGGTAATTATAAACATGTGTTTAGATGATTTAGCTGCTATACATTTACACGTGATAAGCCGCTTCGTTGAGGTGTCGTTTGTGGCCAGGTCGCTTCTGAAAAAGAAGCTAATAGCTCAGTGGTCTTGACCTTGGTAAAATAAAATAGTTTTATTCGGATATATTTTTTTAGTGATTTTATAACCTTTCCTTATCCCTGCACTCCTATCGTGTGTTTTGTATTGTTTGATGTTGCAACGTTCTGACCCACCACGATTGGGTATCTGTGGAAAAGAGCTTTAGAGCTCAACGGATTCCTCCAGTATAAGTAAATATTCTGATTCTGAAACTCAGTGTGCTAACCCGCTGCACCACCACTTCCCGTCCACCACCACCCTACCCTCAATCAATTAACCACGAGGGGAATTACAATCATTTAACAGTTTTAAAACAGTTTGCCCAAAAAAATGCAACCAAGGTAACCACAGTACTGGTAGCAGCGTGAACATTTACAAATAAGGTGATGATTCTCTATAGACTCTCACCTGGTTCAATAAAGGACATCAGTCAAGCAACTAATTTCCCACCAACCTGAAAAACAGAGAATTGTGGCTTAGTCAGACATCGGCTTGCAAATGAGTTGAGCTTCAACGGGGTTCACACTCACATTTCTAAGTAAAAGACGTGCAATCAATCGAGAAATGGACTTCCCTTACAAGCCCAGTAAAGTGAAAAATGTGATTTGGCCAGAAAGCTCCCATTACTCAGCAGTGATTGAATTATGATTCTGGACCTATATATACCATAGCTATAAATAACGCTATACATATACACCTGTACCGTACAGAGTACTGCAGTCCAAATGTGAATGGCACCAGGTTATTCAAGAATTAATTAAAGTCGGCCACAAAGTTAGGCTCAAGATAAATATGACAAAAAAAACCACATCGGAACACGTGTATATATCGAGAGAGGTTCTGTAACTAAATGTGGATGGGTGTCAAACTCGTCAACAAAGTGGACAAGAGCAGGTTGAAGATCTTCTGCAAAACACAACTTAATAATAAAAAGGCAACATACTTTACCAATTCATGTATTGTACCAAACGAATACAGTTTTACTCAGAAAACTTTCCCCTATAACGGTACACAATATACCAGCACCATACATAGTACTGTACATACATGACACTTTGTACGATACATACGATGTACAGGATACACATTATACACATTAGTCTCGGGACATTGACTTATATACCAGACATATCATTTATAAACATCACACCGACTTTAAGTTTACTCTCCTGGTTTGTAGTATAGTCTACCTTGACTATATATGACTGTATAAAACACAGACTTACAGCACATAACCTGCACATATTGTACTTAGCTTTAAGATATTACACTGACTCTTATCACCTGCACTACACAGTATACAGCACAATACAATTGTACAGGACTTAAACAATGGCACAACGCGAATTAATTACAATCGACGTATTGCCACTACCCTAATCATTACCACCGCTACAACAACGAAGACAATATAACATTAACAAAGACACAAAAAAAATCAAAACTCGTGCGTAACGTCAACCTCGGGATGATGTTGCAATGCATCAACACAAACTGAAGGTCTCCCTGGAGACACACGTGGTGAGTGGGTGGGTAGGGGGGAAGGGCTTTAGAGCGTGGGTATTTAAAAGGAGTGGTTGTGGAAAGGGGATGGGGTGGGTTTAGGAGTTTGGGGCACGTGAAGCGAGGGATGGGTGGCAATCGATTAATTTTGGCAACGGCGATGCGTCGGTGGAATTTTGTCGACCCACGCCGCAGCTGGGTTAACCCAGTGCCAGGCTAGGTGCGCTTTGAGGCCACGTGAAATGTGTCTAAAGGCTCGCTGCTAGACGGGAGGTCTCGGGACAGACCCAGCAGGTGCCATGGGTTGCTTGAGATGACTGGTAAGATGCACCAGCTGTACCACCACCACCAATAGCCCCGTCATTCGCCACGAAGTGACGGTGACGTCACCACGGCGCCTGTGCCAGGCTAGGTGCACTTTGAGGCCACGTGAAGTGTCGACGGCTCGCGGACAAGGAGGTCACGGGACAGACCCAAGGTGCCCATGGGTTGACTGACTGAGATGCCTAGCAGGGTTATACATAATGCAACGTGACAGCATTTGCTAACATTAATCGCCGTAGAAAAATGTTTGTGTAGTTGTGTACTACCATTTCAATGAACTATATGCCAATTGAAAAAAACACCTGTTCATCAGGAAAGAATATATTTCGTTAAGTAGGGGAGTCCCTGTCTCGCCAAATGATTGGTGCGGCACTTGCAAATCAGTTTGGCAGCGGATGGAACGGGGAGTCCGCTCAAGGTCCCTAAGATCTGGGGATGAAGATCTTCTCTGTATTCACAGGTCGAGGTTTCGGTCTATGGGTGACCGAGATTTTTCCTGTCGCCCCCAGGCTATACGGAACGCTCTCCCACGCTATGGCAGAGGAATCTCTGAGTCTGTGGACACTTTTAAAATGCGCCTTAAAATTTATGTATACGCTTCCGCTCATTCAACCTTTAGTTAATCTAGAAAGTTATTCTTAAAATGTATTTTTACTATTATTTGTATGCTGAGTGTATGCTGCTGCTGTGTCCCGCACAGCGCTTTGAGATCCTTGATGAAAAGCGCAATATAAATGTAAAAATTATTTATAGCAAAGACGTCACCCATAGTAAGAGGGTGGTGAGGCCACCGGTGGGCGCGGCCTCTCACGAGGGGGGGGCGGGGTTAGAGCGAGGAGGGGCGCTAGCTGTTATAGGGCGTGGTTAGAGATAGGGGAGGCGGAGTTAGCCACGAGGGGGCGTGGCTATATACTCTGCGGTTTGAAAACCGTAGAGCGGATGCGTGCGCGCCTGCTGTGAGAGAAGTCGCCACGCGATTGGCCCAGGCGCGTTCGCGTCGTCGTCGACGGTCACGTGCGCGCCGCTAGCCAATGGGCGACGCCGCGAGCCCACCCCAAGCGCGCTATGGAATTAAACGGGGGCGCTCTGATGGCAACAAGGAAGCGTCAAGGGAGGCGAGAGAGAGGAGAGAGAATGCAGCGCCTTTAACAACAACAAATTATACTTCTCTAATTGTACATACTTTTGTGATTCAAGTCGGGTCTTCTCTTTACAAGATTGTTCTTCAAATTGTCGACTCTTTTGTCGAAGTGTGTTGGGGGGTTGTTATTTTTTTTGGGCGGCGGCTCGTGTTGAGTGACGGATTAAGTGGCGATTTTGGTCTCGATTTTTTTTCCTTCAAGTTATATTTGCGTCTTTTTTTACGTGGTTTGGTTTATTTTATTTGTTGTGATTAAGAGTTTTGGTTTATTTGTAGGGTTCAGTTAGAGATGTAGAGACTTTTCATTCACACAGTACAGTACAAACATACAACGCACATACGTGACCTACAGTACATTACACGTACAGTAGACGTGTATATTGGAATAACCGAGCTTACGCTTGTATCTAACACATTTATAGACAACTCATTAAGTTATATACCGCACACTTGGAGTAACATACACACAATACATAGCACACGCATACTGTACAGCACACGAGCATAACACAACACACTTAACACAACACACTTAACACGTAATTATCTACCATTACACGTAGACCAGTTAAAAAGGAAAAAAACAGTGCCGTTTGATCAAGTGATTGCTTACTGAGAGAACATTTAACCTTCGTATCTAGTGCTGCAGTATTTAAGTGTAGAACTGTAGTATAAATTAAAATTTCGATTGTAAACATCACGAATTGGACCATTAACTAGTATCAGCTGAACGTGTAACTTTAATATACACGTGAAATATAGTATACATCAAATACAGTAATACAAGATATACATTCTTCCGAAAAAATACAACTTTACACGTAAATCCTTACTTTAAACTATACAGGATATTTTACAAACATTGTTCATAATATTTAGTGGCACAAATACATAGCAAACACATTACGCGTTTTCAGCCCATAAACTTACCACATCCACACAAACAAAACGCCACGCACGGGCCAGACAACTCATAGTTGAGCCAGTGTAGACGGGCATCAGGATGGCCCTGTCAGACCAGTCGCAGGTGTGGTTCCCCACACACGTGCAGGTGACCGTCATCCAGGCTCGAAGTCTTCGAATCAAGGGCAAGCAGGGCCTCAATGACGCCTACACCCTCATCCAGCTGGGCAAGGAGAAGTACTCCACCTCGGTGGCCGAAAAGACGCTGTGCCCACGATGGCAGGAAGACTGCACCTTCGAGGTCCCTGCGGACGCCTCTTCGGCCAAGAAGAGCACCCTGGTGCTCACGGTGATGCACAGAGCCCTGGTGGGTGGCGACAAGTTCCTGGGCCAAGTCACCCTGCCGCTGCGTGACATCTACCAGGACAGCACACGCAAAAAGACCCAGTGAGTGCCTTCGTGCGTACGGGTTTTCACTCTTGCGGCGTTGTTGGCGAACGTGGTTGGTTGTGTTGTTGATTGTGTTGCCCTTTGGATGGGCTCACCTGGAGGTGCAGTTCCACCCGCACGCTCCTCGGTAGTGTGAAACCATGTTATCGTTTTACTTCGCGGTGGTGTGCACACCGCCTCGGCTGGGTGTCGTATTGTGTTCTTGCCAGAACATCACCCACAAGGATGCCCACGGGGTGTAACCCACTACTGTTTTAAGTTGTGTTGGTATTTGTTGAACATTGTGGAAGTGTGAGGCTGAGTTGCCACTCGGTCAGTTCTCTTGCTGCTGTGAGCATGGATTCAAACCGATTCTGTAGTCTTAATAGGACAGCACCCATAAGAAGACTTCACTGGGTGCTTTTCCATGGGGTCATTGTTATCTTTGTATTTGAGTGGGTCATTGTTCAGAGGTCAGGATGTTGCCGCTCTCTGGGGTGTCGTAATGGATGGCAGAATGTTTTTTTTTTTAACCAGGACAGTGCCCACAAGAAAACCTATTTGGTGTCCTCTCGAAGGGTCAACTATTGTTGGTGGTGTTGCCAGTATATGTGGTGGTGTTTGGGGAGATCTGATGACAAATAGCTCAAGGGGGCATCTTGCTTTGCCACTAGGACACATGGGTTTTCACTCTGCTTTTGTTGAACTTTGTCAATTTTACCAGCACGGTGTCTCTAAGAAGACACACTCAGAGTGTTCCCAAAAGGGGCCACTCTTGTAATCGTTGGTGTTTGGTGGATAATATTCCAGAGGTCATCATGCCATACTGCCACTTGACTGGAAATCAAACTTGGAGTCAAAATGTATTTTTGTTGGGACATTGTCCACATTATACCACGTGAATTCCTTCTCAAGGAGTCGACTCATCCCTTGTTCTTGTTCATATTGCAATTTTTTCTTTGACGACCTAGGTAGGGGCCAGTGCACACACTGGCAGTGGCAAACTAAGAAAAAAATGAAATTGGCCGTACAAATTTTAATGTAAGAATTAACTGCCACGATATAAGCACAATTGTGAAAGTTGTCCTTGCAAAAGATGGGTGATGACTCTCATTGGTGTAATTTAGCAAGGGCATAGTCATTATTTTTTTGGCAGAAGCACATCCCAGTAGGATTTGTCACTGGCTGGCACGAAGGCATCCTGTGCAGCTGCTGTCTGTTGGCAAATCATCCCCACACACAAATCCCCCCCTATCCTGCATGTTAACTATTATAAGAATGTTGGCACAAAGGAAATCATGGTAACTGCTGCCTGTAGACAAATCAGCCTTGACACTAGTCTAATCCCAGATTGTTGCCACTAAGGCAGTCAAATGTAGCTTTTGTCAGCAGAAAAACCTCACGGTCTGAACCCTAACATAACAAGCTAATCCATGAATATTTGTGACAAGTTCTGGTGCACATTATATGATTGAGTCTATAGCTAAATGATGTTCTTCAAATGACTAACTTTAACTCGGTTCCTTAAATAATTTGTTTGTCACTTTTGAATATCACGACGTGGGACAAAATTAGAAATGAATGTTAGAATTAAAAATAGGGTAACAGGTGTAATCTATAAAGTGAAAACAATTTAAATGTAGTTGGTCTAGACATCTAGTATGTATTTTGAACCTCTTTCGCATTGTACGTAGCCAACCGTAGTCATCGGAGGTGCAAAGGGGTTGAACTTCAGACGACAAATAGGCAAAATTAACAATGGAAAAGCAGGCAGTGGAGGGAGGAAGAAGCGCACTAGATGGAGGTGTTGGGCGCACGTGAAGAGTGGAAGGCAGGGGAATGGAGAGGAGTCCTTTGCCCAAAAGTTGGATGTTAATGGCTGAGAAATATTGACACTGATGACATCGGGCATGTACATTCATGTGAGTTATGAAGATTTGTGACATGATCTAATAAGAAGGTGGCAGGTGTCCAGACAGTTTTTGTCAGGAGTTTGTAATATTTTCTTTAACGATTGGTATTTGTAAACTTACAGTTACGGAATGTATACCTTCATTCGAGAAGAAACATGTTGAAATAAGAAGCAGAAAGGACAGCTGTAAGTGTCTGAATGTGTGTGAATGTATCCATATTTACACGAGTTGTATTAAAGCAAATAAATTCCATCCTTTGCCTAATTTCCCTTTCCGTGGATACAGAATTAGCAGTGGCATTGGGCACGTGTTTAAATTGCATGTGTAATTAGGTAGTGTTTTAAACACATCGAAGGCGAAAGCTTTCGCCTGCATATCTGATGCATTTTAAATGTTAGGAGTTTTTTCGTAAAGCCCAGGTCTAATTAATGTAAACATGTGCTAACTCTTTCCGTAAACATTCAAAGCTAATGCTGACGTAAGGCACTATCGTAATACCAATGGCTAACTGTAATTAGAAGGATAATTGCTTTATTTTATAAGCTATTTTATTGAAAATTCGGCTATTGAAATTGCTAATATTTCATCAAACGACTGCCAGTTCTCTAATGGTCAGAAGATCAACACATCTGCTTTCTTGTCATCATCTGTAGGTTACATATTTGAATAAAATCCCAGGCAATGTGGAGTGTAGATCATTGAAAGCAATGTCCAGCGTAAACAAAACCTGCACTGTGCCGGTTTTAGTTCTGTGCATGTTTGTGTATAGTGTTGCCAGCAATTATTTGCCTTATGACTTTGCAACGTTAACCGATGAGGCATTTTAACTTTGTAATTCATACACCAAGGCATTAAAAAGATTGTGCTTTCATAAGATGTAATGTACACTTATATGGCAGTTACAACATGTGCTAAAGCCCTTCAAAGTGCCATATTTTAGATGACTTACACAATGTAATGGATGAGTCTTTTTTCTAGTTCAAGTTGTAAGCGATTAAACTGGAAAGCATAAAACACTTGTTGTAAATACCTTACTTTAAAGTTGTACTTATTCCTTTCAATTACAGCTTTTTGTATTATCTGCTTGGGTGCAATTCTAAATTTTAAACATCTGTCCTTAACAGTGGTCCTTACATGTTGATGTTTTAACTCAATGTATTTTGAGGATTCTTTCAATGCAGCTAATACATGAAATATCCTATATATCCACCACAGCTCACAGTGATTACATCACGTGCTTTTGTTATTTATTTTGTAGATTTCAATGTTCAATTGTATTGTGAGAATTCTAAAAAATTATCATTCCCACATTTTTTGTATGCCAATGGAGACTATTATCACAAATTAATTAACACATTTATGGGAATAGATTCCAATTATAATTGAATGTCAGGTCGCTCATGTAGAAAATTAATTCTTAAGTTAACATCTCATTTCAAATGATGAACGGGGTGAAATAGGTTAGTCTAAATGTCATCGAGAAATGGAGAAATGTTATTTAGGCTGCAAACAATTTACCAAACCAGTATTTCAAGTTATTCATCTATAGTGTTGTCGTCATAGCACGTCATGGCCTGTTCAAAACACTGCAATCAATGTGGTGCAAATCATTCCCTTTAACAGATGTAATCCTCCCATCTGCTTTCTGCCACCATGACCTGTTAATGACATCCCACATTTATTTGGCATCTACTTGTCGCTTGAACATCAGTTGATGCCACCATGCCAAGTTATGATCTTTTGTTAGCATTGTAATTAATTGCCGTGTGTGATTAAACCTTTTTTTTATTAATGTGAAATAGTAGGAGAGAAAAAAAGTAAGCCAGCCAATTTAATAACCTTCACTAAATATAATTAAATCTGAAAAGTTGTTGGTTTACACACGATAGATTACTTTTTTCTTCTATATTCTGGTGGCTTGTGAATGCAAAATGGACTTCTGGGCAATTGGGCACCTGTGGATTTTATTAAAAAAATCAAACGTACAGCCATAGAATTATGTGAAAATTACCGTTGGTAATGAGGCATAAAATTGGTGTAAAAGAAGCTGAGGGCCGGATCATGGGAAAAATTTGACAGGGGGTCACGTAACCCATGAAAACTGTTCTCAAACAAAGAACTTCATTAAGGCCACTCGCTGAGCGCACACATCGACCTTCCAATAAGTCCACCCCTGGCATTTGTGGAATGCGGAGGAGGCTCTGCTCGCTTGCCTGAGCTTAAGACCGCATGGAACGCCGTGATAGGGCTATGTCTTGCCTCGTTCGAAAAATGGTCTTTGCGAGGAACTTGCACACACACTCACCAGTGCTCTGCTTCCTGCTTAAGCCCTCACTCCCACCAGCCTACTTAGTAAGGTTTTTTTTTTTGCAACTGGCTGCCAGCCTGCTTAATGTGTTTACCAAAAAATCCGCTCACACATGCGGTAAAACCTGCTTAACATCGTTCTCATTTATGGAAGCCTTTGATTAGTCACATTCTGCACATGACAGGCATTTAAAACTGCTACAATGGCAAGTTTTCATGTTAAACATACCTGTTTAAAGATGAGCGATAACCAACATGCAGTGTTCACTCTTTTTTTACTTGTGTAATTTTAGGGTTTGCATAAGGTTAGCCAAACCTATGCAAACACTATAGTTTTGTGTGCTGGAATTGTTTTAAATAAACTAAGGATACTGGCACACATGCGTAAATAATTTCCCCATGGCTAACACTGGAGTGAACTGTTCTTGTCTGGCATCCCCTGGCCCCTTCGCCAAACCCTACTGACTAGCGCGGTAAAGTATGGTCAAACAAACCCCAGAGTTGATATAGCATGGGGGGGGGGGGGGGGCTTCATCCAGCAGTGGACTGAAAAAGGGCTCTACATTATTATTAACAATTGATTGATATTTGGAATTTGGGCAGTGTCAATAAGAATTGAGCCATTGATTATATGAGTAATGTGTGTAAAACTAAACATCACAAGTCAAACATTGTGACCGAAGTGGCATGGGGGAACCCTTCATCCAGCAGTGGATTCACCAAGGCCTCCTAATGAGTTATTGTTAATACTGGAATAAGCATGATGACTGTACAACCTTTCAACTGTTTACAATTTAA